TATATATATATACCTATAATATATTTGGAATCAAACACTCATGTACTATTAGTATAAGGTGCCAAATAAAATTGTATTGTATCGTATTGTATATGGGATTATAACACACATCTGTCCAACTCTTAAGAATTATAAAGGATAATAATAAGGAGAAGATCGAAGCAGTACTTTCTTTTTTTTAATAATTATTATTACCTATAAACTGAGAATTTTTATTAAGAATTAAGATCCCAGTGCTATTATATATAAAATGTATGAAATAATCCAAACTTAATTTTTTCAGGGCAGAAAATTTGATTGGAATGAAGAAACTCGAGGTATAATGTGAAAAAAAAACAAAAAAAAACATAATAATATCCCTAGGTTTTTCCCAAATCCCCTTGAGTGACAGCAGCACAAGATGATAATTATGACTATCGCTCCAAGTAAGGGTCGAACTTGATAAAAGTCTTACTTACTGCTTGTGCATGAAATATATGAAATATATATACGAAGCTAATAAACATGTGGACCTATCTAAGTGTATTAAAACTTTACTGTATTCAATTTCAACAAGTCCAACATAAAAGGTCTAGATATATTATTTTGACACGTTCATTATTAATTCTGGAAATGGTCATTTCTAGGTATCATCCTTGGGGCCTTTTTCTATGGTTTTCTAGTCACACAGCTTCCTGGAGGATGGTTAGCTTCAAAGTTTGGCGGGAAGAATGTTTTTGGATTGGGTGTCCTGTTTACTTCTGTATTGACTTTGCTGACCCCACTGGCAGCTAATCATAGTGTTGCTGCCTTGGTTGCAGTTAGGATTCTGGAAGGGCTTTGCCAGGTAAAAAACATGATGAAATGTCCCTTGTAGATTATTGGATCCATGTTATGTTATTATGATTTACACCAAATCAAGAAATGTTTTTGGGTTAAAAAGGGTCAATAATAAAAGCTAAGACCAGAGATGGAATTAAGGGGTGGTAAAAGGGGTGACTATTTATTTCGTTTTAGTGCATTCCATCTGAAATAATATACTAGCTACATATAGAGAGAGCAAATTTCTGTATATATTTTYCTTTTTTTTATTTATTTTCAAGACCCACAATGCCCTTTGGTCATGGAATGAAAAGTTAACTTAAATGTATTTTTCTGTATTTGTTTCGCAGGGGGTAACTTATCCATCAGTACAGGTTCTATTGAGTAGTTGGGCGCCTCCCCTAGAACGAAGCAAGCTAACAACTATTGCTATAGCTGGTATGATAATTTCAATAGAAGTACCATAAAAACCTGGTTAATATGAGCCCTGGCCCCCTTCCTCTATCTGTCACTTTCATTCTCCTGACCATTCTCCCTGCTTGGTCATAAGCCCCGCATTTAAAGTCCCACCTCCATTGTAAGCCCCTTATATATATGAGCCCTCCCTGTTATGCATGTAAACCCCACCTTGTCATGAGCCCCCCTCCCCCCCACACATGTTAGCCCCCCTCCCCCCATTATAAGCCCTTCCCATTATGAGTTCATCCCCAGGATTTGGTGTCAATGAGTTTTCCAGGTTCCTGGAGAAATTGCTATCTCAAACATGGTCTATTGTCTTAAGATTTTATTTTGTTCAATGTAACCCAAGTCACTTTATATCCTATGAGGTGTCCCTGAGTTATCTAAGCTAATTATGGGCATTATTGTTATCCCTTAGGTTGTGATATAGGAAATATTATCGCACAGCCGATATCAGGCTGGTTGTGTGACTCGACTTTTCTTGGTGGATGGCCTTCTGTCTTCTATGTATTTGGTAATGCTTTTACTATTAATCTCTCGATCCTTTCACACATTTATATATACTAATTTCAATAAAGTTAGTCACCTGAAAAGCTATAAAGCTGAGGCCGACAAGGATTATGGGCAGATTCATTTTACAAGTTCAACCTCGATAACTGTTCATGGACTTGCGAATTTTTTACCGGTTACAGTCTAACCTCTTGTGAGCATCATCGAGCTGCAGTTTGTATTAAAAAAGCTTTGTATATATATGCTTTTTTGATATGAAAAGTTTCCCATGATGCTCAGTAATCTCAGCTTTCTAGGTTTTTGGTGACTAACTTTATCGAAATAAGTGTATCTAAAACATAGAAGCTGAGCCAGGCCAAAAGGTATTTTGGGAAATGAAATAATTATTCTCTTATGTCGATACAAAAAGTGTTTAAAAAGTCTCATTTTCTGTGCAAGTTTCATGGTCGTTGTATGTGACAATGGTGTATATTTTTTGTCCTTGATAACATGTACATGTTTGCACACTGGTAGGCTAGGTAATGCAAGCATAAAGTAAGCGCAATATTGTGCACACAGATAATGGGAGCTTAAGGCTGCGTTCACAATGTATGGCGGGGGCAGGTGAAATTTAGAGGAGATCGGAAAAATTTTTACTAGTGAAATTGGGGGGTTTGAATTTTTTTTTCAGAGAGTTGGGGGGGGGGGATGCAAAATTTTTAGAAGAAGCTACGAGAGATTAATTTCACCTGCCCCCCCCCCTCTGCCATTCATTATGAACGCAGCCTAAAGGAAGTTCACACACGGCCACCTTCTCAGATACGTTGCGCGCGACTTTGTCGCAAGGTTGCGTCATGTTTCTTTCTCATTGAGATAAAATGTAGTTTTGAATGAGTGCCTATTTCAGGGTTTTAGATATGTTTATAGTGATAAACAATTATGTTTTTAAGGTGTGTTGGGTATTTTATGGTATATTGCATGGTTTTTCTTGGCCTACGAGAAACCTGCCAGTCACCCCAGAATATCAGAGGAAGAGAAAGAGTACATCTTGTTATCCATTGGGACGTCACAAGATAAGGTTTTAAAGGTGCGTCTATTGCTTGAATTAGCCTATCCGAACCGAATCAATCACTTCTCATTTCACAGTCTCCAGCATGAAAAAAAAAAGACGAATAATCGAAAGAAAGTGGTAAAGGGGGGCTGTCTTAAAGATAACATCCTCGCTTACTGTATCTCTTCATCTCACACCATAAAAATACAGCCAATCATAATTCAGGAAAGCCGTTGTATATCAGTTTCTCGGTACACTATTCTTCCCAGCATGCGCTGCTCTCTTAATTATCTTTTATGGTTGGAATACATAGTTATACAATAATGCTTTCTCGTGGCACACCATGGAATATCCCACTTGTCGCTCGTATTTTCTTTGCGTAGTTTACTTGCCTAAAGGCTCGTAAGTACACGTAGAAAAAAGACAACTAGTAACGCGTGGGATATTTTATGGTATACCACTAGAAAGCAGCGTATAACTAGTATGTAGTTACTATACCGTACATACCATCATTTACTTTTCTCAACAGAAGCACTCGGTGCCCTGGCTCGCTATCTTTACTTCTCCTCCAGTCTACGCCAACTTAATAGCGTTCTTCTGCGCAAACTGGGGTTACTACACTTTTCTAACCTCTTTGCCTACCTACTTCAAGGACATCCTCGGCTTCAAGATTCTAGAAGTAAGTAGTGCTGACAAATGAAATTGCTATTGTAGAACATTGTCCAAATACCGTCTAGTCTGAGGTCACAAATTTAGATTCACGTACCGTGACGATCGTGGCGGTATGGACCGTGGCGATATCCTTTGAGCATTTTCATTGGCTTATAGAAACGATTTCGCTTTGATTGGTTCAAAAGATGTTGTCATTTTATACCGTTAAAGTGCACATGAACCCTTCGACAATACTTTCAGTACTGATTCTACACGAAGTAAATAGTTGAATGGTAAAATATTTCTTGATTTGAGTG